TGAGTTCCAGGACAACTGGGGCTACAGGGAGACCCTGTCTCAAAAAAAAACCCCCAAAAAACAAAACCAAAACAATGAAAAATAAAAAAACTCAACCGGGCATGGTGGGGCACACCTTTAATCCCAGCACTTGGGAGGCAGAGGCAGGCTGATCTCTGTGAGTTTGAGTCCAGCCTGATCTACATAGTGAGTTCCAGGCCAGTTGGGGCTACAGGGAGACTCTGTCTCAAAAAAACCAAAAGAAAAAAGAAAAGAAAAATCGCATCACCTGTCCCTGCCGGCCTCAGGAAGTCCCTAGGAGCCGTGCCCGAGAGACCAGCCTGACTTACTTTGCAGCACCTTCACTTTACCAATATTTAAAAATTTAAACTCAACCGGGCATGGTGGGGCACACCTTTAATCCCAGCACTTGGGAGGCAGAGGCAGGCTGATCTCTGTGAGTTTGAGTCCAGCCTGGTCTACATAGTGAGTTCCAGGCCAGTTGGGGCTACAGGGAGACTCTGTCTCAAAAAGACCAAAAGAAAAAAGAAAAGAAAAATCGCATCACCTGTTCCTGCCGGCCTCAGGAAGTCCCTAGGAGCTGTGCCCGAGAGACCAGCCTGACTTACTTTGCAGCACCTTCAATCGTGTCCATCTTTTGGAAAAAAACATTCTTCTCAGTCAGCTGTTGCTCCTTCTTGACTGTCCTCTTCTGTAATGATGTCTTGTCATGCAGGGTTGCAGGTGTGAGAGCCATTGCTCCAGCACTGCAGGGAAACGGCAGGAGGGCTGTCAGCAGGATCAGCATAGTCCCTTCCCATAGCCGCAGAGTCTCAGAGAACATAGCTGATCCCACCAATTCCAACCTGGCCACCCTGTGTCAGGATCCTGGAAGCAAGCTCTTGAGAGTCTCTGTCCAAGTACAATCCTGAAGGATTTGTGTGTGGCTGTCCCCGAGGGCACAGCTCATGTCTGAGTGTGTAAATCATCTGAATAGGAACATGGCAGAGGACTATGCAAAAGCTATCTCTTGGGGTGGAGACTGCCATGTTTTAAGTTGTTTCTGAATATGTACTATGCATGTTGCAAAAAAATAGAAGAAAATAAAATCACTAGTATCGTAGGGATAGATCACCAGAGATGGTCTCTGAGATATTCAGATTTAACCACTGGGAATATTTTGACATATTGCTTTCCAAGTCTAAACTCGGTATTTGTCGGACCCTTTCCTAGGTCATTTCGAACTTACAGTAATGAGTGTCCCTATTCACAGTTTTCAGCAAACTTCTAGTTTCTTAGGCTGTTTTCTTAGAACTGGGATTACTACCCCAAAGTGAATATCACACAGAATTTTCAGGCTTTAGAGAAATATTCACAAATTGAATGTCTAAAATTCAACCTACACGTACTATCAACAGCTGTGCCTGTGTGGGTGGGGACTTCATTCCAGAGTTGGGCTATCTGGAGAGGAGAAAAGCGAATTATCTGAGTTCTTTGCTGAGGCGATAACAGTGAAAATATGCAGAGAAGATACAGGTGATTCATACCTGGAATCCCAGCACTTGGGAGGCTGGGGAAGGACTACCATCGGTCCGAGGCCAGCCTGGGCCACATAGTGAGCTCCAGGCCAGTCTGGGCTACAGAATTAGACCCCCATCTCAAAACAAACAAGCAAAGAAAAACAAAATAAACCATACCAAAACAACAACAAAACAGGTAGAGAAGTGTGGGGCAGAAGCACACAGGGAAAGCTGTAGGAGCAGGGATGGGGAGATGGCTCTGTCTGCAAAGCGCTTGCCACACATGAAGACTGGGATTTGATCCCCAGAATCCATAAAAAGGAAGCCAGGCAGGCTTATAATTCTGGTGATGGGGAGGCAGAAACAGGCAGAGGCCTGGGTCTTACTGTCCAGTCAGCAGAGCCTACTTTGTGAGCTCCAGGCCAGTGAGATGGCTCAGTGGGTAAAGGTGCTTGCCACCCAGACTGGGGACCTGTTTCTGATTCTCAGAGCCCACGAGGTAGAAGGAGAGAACCCATTCCTAGAAGTTGTCCTCTGACCTCCACATGCTCACCAGAGCAGAGAGAGAGAGAGAGAGAGAGAGAGAGAGAGAGAGAGAGAGAGAGATCCTCCTTACCAGCAGAAGTCAGCAGGGTTATACCTACTGCCAAACAGAAGAACCTTCTCTGCATACTCAAATGAGTGAGCACAATAGACTAGGCTGGACCTAGAGGGTGGCCTGGTCTCCAGGACCCTGCAGGCAAAGGGGACAAAGGATAAGGACAGAGTGCTGGAAGGGGTTTCCCTGGAGGAGTGGCTTCGGGCAGGGCTCAAGAACACAGAAGAGGTTCCCAGTGTCAGGAAGGGAATGGACCTGAGACCTGCCTTGTTCCGTTTTTGGCAGCTGTCACCTCTGACCCCCCAGGAGGGATTTAATAGCAAAGCTGGTTCTGTCACTGTGGGTACCTCCACAAATTCCACCTCCACAACACATGGTCTCACATTTCAAACAGCACAGATTCCTTATACCACCTCACGTTTATGTTACAGATAAGGTATTTCAAAAATGTGTTTGAAAATTCAGTACTCACAGGACTGGGAGAGATGCTCAGTGGTTAAGAGCACTGGCTGCTCTTGCAGACAACCCAGGTTTGGGTCCCAGCACCCACATGGTGACTTGCAACCATCCTTAACTTCAGTTCCAGGAGATCTGACACCCTCTTCCAACCTCCACAGGCATTGCACAACATGGGTGCACTTACATACATGCAGGCAATATACTCATATACATAAAAAAAAGTCAGGGCCCACAACACCACAGTGAGGGAGGTATCACCCCGTTTTATGGAAGCATTAACTGAAGTTCTCAGAGATGGGTGCTGGTTGACTGCCAAATCCTGAACTTAGAACTTTTGTGTGCTCCCAACAACTGCTGAGAGCCTTCCGCAATGGCTGTTGGGATAGGTTAGGAGTGCCTGGAATGTAGAGCATGGCCAGGAGGGAGACCTCCCAGTGAGGACGGCAGGAAGCTGGCCCGCTCCATTCTAGACACACTGTCTCTTACCCAACAGCCCCCAAGCAAAACTATAAAGTCTCTAATCCTTTAATCCTAACCAGGTCTCTTGTAGATCATATGACCGGAGGACAGGACAAAGGCCATGTAGCCTTCCCCCTCCCTCCCCCTACCTGCCTGCCCACCAGAAAACCCAACCCTGCCTCTTTGCCCACGAAACTTTCATATATAAACCTCTGCTTCTGCCATAATAAACGAGCTGTCCACTGACACAGTCTCCCGTGTGTTTTTTCCCACCATACTCACTGCCACCCAAAGCTGCTCTCCCCGCATTGGTCTCTCTCCTCGTCTCGACTTTCTGTTACCGGGACGGTGCGCAATGGTCTCCCGATAGCAGCAGAGTCCAGGCTGAGGAGACGTCTACAAATGGCCATCTCCAAAGATGACTGGACTAGAGTTCTTCCATCAGACTTTCTGTGGTGATGGAAATTTTCTACAGTGTTCAGCCTCACATGCATGTAGCCATGTTCAAGTGTGTATGTGCACACAGGCATATGTGCACATGTGCATACATATGTATGGAGGCCAGAGGCTGATGTTCGGTATCTTCCTCAATTATTTCCCATCTAATTATTTGAGATATGGTCTCTCACTGAACCTGGAGCTCACCACTTCAGCTAGACTAACTAGCCAGTGAGCTCTGGAGATTCACCTGCCTCCACCTCCCCAACACTGGGGTTATAAGCACTCGTTACCATGCCCGGCTTTTCCGTGAGTACTGGGGATCCAAATTCAGATCCTGATGCTTGTACAGTAAGCACTGTACCAACTGACCCCAGCCATCTATTTCCACTGAGCACTTGAAATGTGGCCAAGGAGCTGAATTTGTCATCACAGGTACCTAGTGGCAACCATATTGCACAACCCAGATTTTCTGGAGCAGGCAAAGCAAACTCTGGTCCACAAGCCACACCCAGCTGGCCTCAGCTACCACACCCTACTGGAATGTACCACACGTACTCCTTGACATGTCACCTCTGACAGGGTTTCTACTGCAGCGACAGAGTTGAATGGTTGTAGCAAAGACTATTACACAGGTATCTTGCCTTTACAGAAAAAATATGGCAACCACAGGTCTAAACCATCATCTCTATAATTATTCCAGATATGTGCTATGCTAGAGAGAATCTGTTGAATGAAATAAGTGAGAACAGAATGTGTGCGTGTCTGTGTGTGTGTGTGTGTGTGTGTGTGTGTGTGCGTGCGTGCGTGTGCGGAGGTTGGCCTCGTGTCTTTCTTCAGGTACTACCTACCTTCCTTTTTGAGACAAGGGCTCTCACTGGACCGACCGCTCACCAATTAAGCCAGCAGGCTGCCCAGCAGGTCTGAAGTATCAGCCCGTCTCTGTCTTCCCAGTGGTAGTACTGCACCACCACATCCACATTTTCGTGGGTGCCGGGGATCAATCTCAGGTCCTGCTTGCATGGAAAGTACTCTACTGGCCAAGCTATCACTCCAGCCCCAAGAGAGGAATTTTATCAGGCCTGGCTGAGTTCACAACATAGAATCAGCACTAAGCAGCTGATGATTTTATTTTATCCCTTCCATACCTGCAGTGGGTCAACATCAGTACTACTAATGCTGTTAGAGTGAGGAGTAGATGAGCTAGTCCTTGCTATGCTTAACACAGTATTAGGTAAAGACCAAACACCAACATTATATATTGAAATTATATATTAAATATTTTTAATTTTTAAAATTTAAAATTAAAATTATATATTAAAAATTTTAAGGTCCTGGAAATATATTTGGAGCAATCAAGCTGGAACTGACCTGGAAGCCACCACCCTGAAGGCTAGCTCTCATAGTTTTGGAGAGCACTATGAAAGCTGGTAAGGGAGAACATCAATCCATGTTCCAACCTCAGCTTCAAGACCTAAGAACCACATCAATGACCAGCACGGCAAATGACATTGGTGCAGTAGTGGCACTTTTATCTTGGGAATAATCAACAGCTACCTAATTGGACTTAAAGCCCTCTAAATGGGAGGAAACTCATGTCTGGTACTGTAGACAGAGCCAAATACACATGGCTGGAGAGGTCATAGATCTCAGGGAAAACCCAAGGCTCTCCTATCACTAGGCAAATGCAATTTGCAAAATATGTGCAAAATATGGATCCTTAAATTTACAGACAAGTATCCAGTCACCACCTATCAAAGAAGCTTCTTTTTAAAATGACAGATTATTACAGAGTTATACCACTGGTCACACACAGGGTGTCTGTGAATTGCCCAAGCCTAAGTGACACATCTAGGTTGCAGCCTCTACACCCAAGACTCACGGAACATAGAACAAGGGATGAAGAGACACTAATGCATCTTTCAAGTCTCATCAATGAAGCTCCCTCATGCAACAGAGGGTCAGGAACGTGAAAGGCCACAAACGTTCGAAACAGAGAGAATGAGAGTCTACAGGGTGTGGGTCCTTGGACAGGACTCCTATACTGAGGTCCACCCACGCAGGGCTCAGGGACCATTGCAGAAGAGGGGGTGGAAAGATTGTAAGAGCCAGGGAGGAGGTGCATGACCATATGGAAACAGTCTTACAGGCACCTGGAACCCTTCTCATACAAACCTACAGCAATGGTGTCAGCATGCGTAAGGCCCATGCAAAGTTAGGCAGACAAAAGCCCAGCACAGAACTATGGAAATGAACAGCAAGCTGCAATCTTAGTTGAATAAT